GAGAGAGAGGGAGTGGGAAAAAAATTGCGTACGATAGACGTACGCAGCGCTGCATGTATTATTAGGGTTATACCGATGGTACATGGGGGTTACATCCACGGTATAACCCATTGTAACCTCCCTGTAACTTGTTGTAACCTATCTGTACCCTAAAATAAGTTTCGCGCTTCTGTTATCATATATTAAGAGGTTATACGTAAGTTACAGAGAGGTTACAAGGGTTTATACCGTGAATGTAATTTCTTTATACCCTCGGTATACCCCAATATCGCACACAGCACTGCGTACGTCTATCGTACGCAAAATTTTCTAGTGTGTGTGTAGACATTAAACTTTTGGCAGCAAAGAAGTGTTGCTGTAAAATATAAAGCAAGCCATGCTAGGTGCAAAAATTTCCCATTTTCGTTCTTTATCTTTTCAACTGGTTCATCAAGTAAAATGTTCTTGCTTTTTGTGCCTCTCCATGACCGACGATGAGCTCCCTCAAACATGTTCATGGCCGCTTCCTCCATTCCCAAAATCTGTAGAAGAGCAGTTTTGAGTGGATTAACGATTAACATCACAAATGTCGGTAGAAGACAAGAAACATCACAAACTGCAAACTTTACCCCCATTTTTCTCCGAGCAAAAGCGATCGCAGCTGATGAGCCCAATTTCTGTCATTGGCCCGCAATTTCGAGGCCGTTATTCGCTAATCTGGCGGCGAAGATAGAGGTCGGGAGCTGGCGCTTGCTGTTTTGTGCGAAACCATTTTCTACATTGCTGAATGTTTTGAAGCAGCTTGGCCTGATGTTGAGGAGCATGTGCACTCCACCATTTCTTCCTTGAAGAAAACCTAACTGATTTGTGCTCCGAATCGGTGAGATCCATGCTCCTTCTCTCGGATCTGTTCTTTCCATGTTTTTATTTGTTTTTTATGGAAACATTTGTTTGAAAAATGATATGATTACCAAAATAATTGATTGCAATGGTTTCAGTCTCCCAAATCAGTTCAGTAATTAGCTTTAAAGCTCTCTCTCCCTCTCTCTCCCTCAATCTCTCATGGATCGGTTCCATCAGATGGCGTAGAATATAATAAGTTCCTTCAAAATTTTAGAATTTTATGGCAAAAAAGCCAAGGGGGAGTTAAGAAACAGTGATTACAGTAAACAGAAAAAAATTTATTAGTTTCTTTAAAGAATCCAGAGACCATTTCAAAAATTTTTTTTTGAATAAATGGTGCTGAATCTTTTTGCTAAAACTATGAACTTTAACGTTTTTTTTCAAAATGAAATGCTTCTTTCTACATCAATCCACTGGTTCAATGTCTTTGGCAGTTTAAGTAGTAATCGGAATTCCATTCTTCATATCTGCTTTTGTTAAATTCCGAGATGGTGAAAATGTGCATTTCTCTTCTCTATTGGCCTAGTTTCTCTCCTAGCGTTTAATTCCGAGCTCTAGTTTATATCATTTTCTAATTACATTAACTGGATGTATTTCATCTATGTCTGCTGAAATCTGTGACGACCCGTTTCAATTACTGGGGAGAAGAAATGAAGAATCGAAGAAGTGGAAGTGAGGAGTTTGGAAACCGAATAGAAAGGGAGAGGAAACCAAATAGAAGAGAGAGGAAGCGAGGGGGGTCGGAAGTCGAGGAGAAGAGTTCGCCCTATAAATTGACACGAGAGGCGGGAGCTTTCGTGCGTGCGGTCATAGAGTAAAGGAAGGAAAGAGGAGGGGCGTGGCGTGCTTTCTTACTCGAGGAAACAACGCAGTAGGCCTCGTGCTCGAGGGAAGCAGAGGATCGCAATGCCACTTTTTTGTGTCGAGTCATGACAATAGGTAGACGAAGGAAGATGACGTGCGAGCTGAATCCTACATGCAGAGGAAAAAGAAGCTCTCTCGTGCGCAAAGGAGGGGTTTGTGTGCGCTGCTACCATGCGAAGTAGGAGTGAGGCATCGACGTCGAAAGCTCATACGAGAGGGAGCTGAGTGCATCGTCGTCCTCGCTCTCGCTCTCGCTCTGCTAGGGTTCGCCTATGGTAAACCTTGGTTTTTCTACTTCACTGCATCTTCGTCGATCAAGCATTGTTTCGTCTTTCGTCCTTTTCGTCTTCGTCGCAAGTGCTGTTATGATATACACAAGTTGTTGTGGTATATTGAAATAGAACGATCGATCACGAAATGAATGAAAAATAGAACGAGAAAAATTCATACCATAAACAATAACCCAGTGGATGAAAAATAGAACGAGAAAAATTCATACCATAAACAGTAACCTTATTATTTGGAACACAAATTTACGTGGTTCGGCAAATTGCCTTTGTCCACGGAGTTGCAGAAGATTTTACTACTTGAGGAATTTACACCAGTCGATTGTCTCGACTTACAAGAGGAATCTCTCACTTTGTTGCTCTCTCTTCTTCTCTTTCTACACCGAGATACACCGAAGAAGCTCTACACCGAGATACACCGAAGAAGA